CACGTGATATGTCACGTGACCATTTTGAATGAATGATAATGTCTTATCTTCAATAAATAACAGCTATCGACCTACACTCCGTAATGTTTCGAAAAAATTTTACTCCAATATGTACCCAAACTACGATTTTCTCCACTTATCCAGGATAAAACAATACAATCCAATCCAATACAATACAATAGTTTATTGACACTCGCCTGGTGGGGCTTTTCAGTGACAATGCGAGACAAAGAAAAGAAACTAAAACACAATAAAACATACCTATTTAAAAGTTATCTATGTAATAAAATACAACATGCCTTTATAACAGTTAAACATATTATAAAATACTATCATCAAGAACCAAGAGCATTCTGAGTTTTTCATAAAGGTCTATTAGTTATTCCATTTTATAATAAAGTTCGATATAACGCGCTCTCTGAATGACTGAAACAACGTGCCCTATGAGAGTATAAAACACACAAGAAGAAATAGGGATTAACACTCGACTAGGTCTCGAGTTGTCCCCTGCACTTTCGTGCTCTAGGCGCTTCCTGTGTGCTTTCCAACAGAACAGAGCACAGACAAGGCTTCTTTACTTATTAATGAACGTTGCTGTACCGCGTATCATCTTCAGTTTACAGTTAACACAAAACAGTGACACAAGGATTGCTAAAGCATGAGGCGAAGGCTTTTAAATATAATTCAGTAATAACTCTGTGTCTTCCGATTTTCATATGAAAACTCGATAGAATCAGTTATCAAAATGCCTTCAATCAATCAATCAATCAATCAATCAATCAATCAATCAATCAATCAATCAATCAGTCATTTATTTTAACACGTTACGTCGAGGAGCTAAAAAACTCGTTCAAAATACGGTGAACTAGGTGGTTGATGCAGAAATTGAAAATTTCCTCTGGTTTTTTAAAATATATATATGTTACTCACCGGCTGGGAGGTCCGTATTGGGAGAAACTGTGCCCGAGGTCTTGAGTACCGCCCGAGGCCGTAGGCCGATGGCGGTACTCAGTCTCAAGTTTTAAAACAAAAATGGTTTAATAATCACGGTTTTTGCTCATTCACAAGCAACAAACAAACTCGTGAATGAAGCTGCCAACGATTCCGCCTGGCTTAGCGGACAAGATCAGGGCGGATAAAGGTTGGGGGGTGAAACGAGCGCGTCCGAGCAAAAAGGTGTGATGCAGTGGACTGGGACTCTGCTTAGAAATGTCGCTTGTTTTCGACTTCGGTCAGGGCTTGCGATGTGGTTTGTCCATTAGACACTGCTGCTGTCACTGAATTATGGCGGCTTGATTTGTTTTCTTGCAACTTCTTCCTCGTTCCTTTGTGCTGGTACGCTGTCTCCTAGAGACAAATGTTGCAATTTTTGCGGGAGGTTTAATTGGAGTAGACAAACATCTCTTTCAAAGGGTTTCTCGTACTACTTCCATGACTCTACCACTGAATTATATTTTCGTTCTCTTACTCGCCAATTTCGATGTTATTCCAAACCAAAAACAACTAAGTACTGTGTAAAACACGAAGCAAAATCTCATCCATGTCATCCATGGCAAAACTAAAAGACAGCAGATCGTGTTTCATAACTAGATGACGTGTACTTTATAAATGAGTGCAGCTCGTGCAAGGTGATATTATGCTAATTTCAATCACCATCATCCTTCTTTTATTTTGAAAAAAAACATCTCATACGTCTTTCTGTTTCTTCGACACTTCAAAATTAGTTTTCCCTCAGTTTTTACTGTTTACCTTGTTTTGTTTTAGAGAGAAAAACGGAGAAAAAACCCTGCAACTAACCTCAATAAATTTTGTTTACATGCGGTTGCCCGATTTGCGACGCATTGCGCGAATCGCCATGGCGCGTTGCACCCGAGAAGCAAAGTTTGAAGCAGTACAACGCCACTATATCAAAATATATCAATCTAATTTTTTGTTATGTTATATAAAATTTCTCCGCGTTTAACATATGTACAAAACTCAGGTTAAGAAGTGTTAAGTTTTTGCAAACGAAACGGCGAAAGATGATCAGGTGATATTTACTGGAAGGAGGAGGTATTCAACACTTTCAAATTAAACTCAAATTTTGGCATTATACGACCAACAAGTTTGACTTATAGGCATACAGACACAAACATATGAAACTGTTTATTGATATTGTTATGAATCGAATTTATCTATTTAACATTGTAGCCTGAAATTACAGAAAGAAAATAGAATTTCCGGTTTGCAAAAAGGAAAATTTCGCCGGCCTTCAAGCGCACCGGAAGCGCGGAAAGAGCGCTCGTGCCAGTCCTACTCCGCAACACACATTAAATGAAGAGCGGAGCGCTCGTTTCACCGCCCAACTTTTATCCGCCCTGGACAAGATCGTAAAATACCGCCCGCTCTCGGAACCAATCAGATTGCAGGTTTTGGAGGATTCCGCCAGCTCGCAAGCTTGGAGATAAATAATTATGCATAAAATTAAAATCAAGCTTGCAAAAATCTTTGCTTAAAGTGAAAGGTGATTAAATTTAATTACTTAAAGCGTGCAAATATCCGTAGCCTTGCAAGAGGATAAAAATGCTACAATCAGAGACTTGTCTTAAGTTACTAAATACAATCGAATACCCAGTAAGCAACCACCCAAAATGCCAAGATTAAGTGGTCGCTTACGAGAATCGAGCCACGATGGGTCTCAGAAAAGGTGTGCATGTAACTAGTGTTTGGAAGAAAGGAAGAGAATTAATTGCATGTTGTCACTAAAGTTCTTCTTATACATAGAGGTCAGATCATACCTTAAGTGGTCGCTTACAAGACGTTAAAAATAATGGAAAATTATAAAACCGTCAAAAGCGGGAAAATTTTGGTGGATTGGTGGTCGGAGCTATGAGGAGGTGGTCGCTTACGAGAGGTGGTCTCAAATGGGGGTTCGACTGCATATAAAAGACATAATTAAATTTACTTCATCCTTTATCCAAGAATTAAATTAAGCCCTCTGATTAGTAAAAGACCCCTACTTGTGTAGAACAAGGCTAACTGTAACAAATACTTCAGAAATTCGATTATCTAACATAATATAATAATAATATCAATATCAAATTGTCCAATGGCGCTTTACCAAAATCGATTTAGCTCGATTTAAAGACCCAGGAAATAAAGTATAAGGGCGGCAACACACCGAAAAGGCTCGTAGTCCACAGATCTCCAGTCCATATATTTCGGGGTGGTCAATAAGTTTCTTGACTTATAGATCAAGAATCCACCTTTACTGGGTCGTCGACTTTGAGGATGTCTAGTAAATAAGGAGGTGCTAGCCATGCATTATCTCATAAGTTAACAATCAAATCTTAAAATTTACACTCTCTTCCCTCTTAGGGACGGACCATTAAAAAACGTATGTGGGGGGGGGGGGGGGGGG